AAATCACATGACTTTTGTTAATTACATTCCAACTGTACTTGATCAATCGATCGGTTGATCACATCGGTTTCAGAAATGAAGGTCTCATTGCACGTCTACGAAGTCGTTTACATAGGAAAATCATTTCCGCATTCCGTCCTTCTCTATTTGTCAAGTCTAAGGGATCACAGCCATTCGAGACGCCTTCAAGAGTCCCACCGGTACGTTTTTCCCTATGCTGGTACCTGGGAAGGGACCTTGATGGGTTTTTTCTACGCTCAGAGCGGTATTGTACTTACCATTAGACAAGGTTCATCAGTTCAGGTTCTGTTCGCTCCGGTCGTTCAGTCATCAATCGAGAAACCATCAAGAAAAGCATCCAGGATGTGCTCACTGCGGTCAATTCTCGAACATTCCTCCCTCAGCACTCCTACGTCCAGACTGATTACTCCACCTCCATCTGCAGATCTCTCTCCAGTAGATGAACCAGAAAAGGCCGACAACGCTTCGATCGCAGAATCAATCCTTAGCTGGGATCGATCGAGGCGGCGAATTCATGAAGAAGACCCCTCATCTATGTCTATCTGTTCCAATGATTCCCTCACCATGGGAAGCACCTCTCTATCGGAGGGTAGCTATAGAGTGAATTCCACCTTAACTCTGCCCAGGACAATGTCAGCCCCTCTTTTGTACGGCCTTGAAGTGGAGGACATCGTCTACGTGGACGAAAGCCTTAGGCAGAATCGCCCTGTCACTCCAATCGAGCGGAAAGAGCTCAATCTTTTCATGTTCAGAGCGAAGTCTCGCTAGATCTGTTTTGGAACCATTTGGTCATTGATGTGCCTTTAAGTGAGTTGTGTGTCGTTAGGTCAGGACGCGGCACCTTTTTTACCGGTCTCCGCAAGGAACTATTGACGCTGTTATCAGAAAGAATGCGAACCGTGAGTGCCAAGGTTGCGCTTCTCCTGATCTCTCATTTCCTTAAGCTGTATTTATTTGTTTTTCAATGTATTTTTCCTATTTTGTATAAAAATTGTGTATCATTTTTGATTTTTTCAATGATTATTGTTTATTTCTGAACGTAGAATGAGATTTCTGGTCGTCAAAACTCAGCATTTACGTTCCGAAATTTCTTATCCACAATAAAATATGAAATAAATCTAAATTGGGGGTGCTCCGCCTTCAAGCTGCATGTGAGTGTTGCCACCAATCCTCGTCATCCTGAGCTGCCAACAGGGAATCGGGTACATCTGCATAGTCCGAGTGTTGGGTATCCTCGGCGCTCATATCCTCCAGTCTAATTGACTGGGTACTTGCAGAAATCCAACTGTTGTAGCTGCTTTCTCCCATAGAAGGGAAGGACGAGATTGAAAAGCGGACACTTTCACGGTAACGTGATGGCGGGTGATCGGCTTGGGTAACAGTCTCCTTAGTGGATGTCACCTTGTAGTCGAACTTCTCAGGTACCATCGTCGCAGCTGTACTGGGTCTTTTTGGACGATGTTGAACAATCCCAGGTTTTGAAGGCCTGTGCTCCAGTGGTCCGGGTGAAGCTCGAGGGGGTTTTCTCGGGGTCATGGAGACGGGTTCAAAAGCTGGACAGGCCATGCATTTGGGCGTTGACGTTTCGATTGGCTTTGTAATTGCTTCTGAAGAAACTACCTTTCTAACGGTGATAGCCTGGGTGTCGCTATGAATTTCAGCCGATTCTGAAATCGTGACATGAATCGAGGAACAACTTCGGGAAGACCGGGATAGAGCCGGTATAGCAAGGTTCTCTTTGATCGAAGACGGAGCAGTAATGGTCACTTGGCTGTTGTCCAACTTGTAGGGAGAACAGTAGTGAAGCATTGGAGGTGGATTCACTGGAAGAGGCGGTTCAACATCGTCTCCATACATACCCTTTCTCATCGGTGGAACCAAGCGATCCTAAAGTGGAAGGAAGCTTTCCCAACATCTTTTTGGTACTACTCAGACTATTACCTGTTCCGAATTGCTGACAGATACGTGCACTTCTTGCTTTTCCTCAGTTTGCACTGCCTTGGTCACGGAATGGCCACAAAATCTGCGATGTAAACAGGCCCGCAAGCTGGCCACGCTTCGCTTCCCACGACGAACTGATTTCCTTAAATGAGTGATTTCAAGTTCCATCGTTGTCGCTGAAAAGTGAATGAGGAAGAAGTGCCTGGCTGGCAAATGGGTTCACTCTAGTAAGCCATGCACTAGTTTCTCTATCGGAATCGTAGGGGCATTCGAGTTTGTATTAGATCCATACAATTACTAGTTGAAGCAAAGCAAGCAAGCCGTCAATTGGTACTTTCATTCTCCCAGATGGGTGAAGTAGCGTCAAGCCAGGAGCATGGATAGTTGAAATACCCAGACGGTGTCCATTAGGGCTCTCATTCAAAGACCGCTTGAACTGTAAATGTAATATCAGAAGTAATGTTGGGCTTACGATGGTGTCTTGCCCGATTCTTCTTGACACGATGAAGCAGTTGACTGTATGGTTAGCGGAGTTCCCAGGGAGCGATGACTGGTTTTGCTTGACCTCTGAAACTACAGTAAGAAGGGGATGATCATGGCTAGCTAGCAAAAAAGGAGTGAGCTTATTCACATACTTCCTGTCTATCTGATCTGTCTTCACACGAGACAGTACTGCACGAACGTTTGCTGTCCGACTTCGCACTCACTTTGTCATCCGTCGACTTGGAGCTCGATTTAGCCGTTGGCGGTTGTTCTGAATGGAATATTGTCCAGGATTTGAAGAATGGTTGGCAAAATTACCCCATTAGGGACCACTTAGTGGTGTAGACTACTGATCAGATCGCTTCTTAGAGAGTGTCACTTGGTTACACGGATAGCTGACACGCGTTGCTTTGTAGCGGCTGCAATCTCGCCCAAACACCCTGTCTGTCGCTACGAACTCGTCCAACCTCAGACACGATTAGCTCAAGACTTTGAGTGTTGGGATTTCTGTGGATTTTCTCGTTTTGCGAGCTATTCTGGACTAGCATCTTCGCCCTACATATATCCCAATGAGGGAGACGGGCGTTAGGAACGATTTTGGGTAATCGATTTGCCGCCCGCGGCTGTCGCGGACCACT